TGGTTGATAAGTGGCCTCTCACACAGTTTTGTTTGTAACCTCAGGACCATTGTGATATCAATTTACGAAACAACAAGAGACAAACAGCCCTGGCGCTATCTGTGTCAGAGGCTTATACAGCTATGATAGAAAAGCTGGATGGTGACACTCCATTACAGTCTTGCTGTTATTCACCAGGCTGTGGGTACCACTGGGTTAAGAGGGGTGAGTAATAATAATAAAAATAAAAATGAAAATAATACTACTACTACTATTAATAATGATAATGTTAATGATAATGATAATGATAATGATAATGATAATGATAATGATAATAATAATGATAATGATAATAATAATGATAATGATGATAATGATTATGATAATGATAATGATAATGATGATGATAATAATGATAATGATAATGATAATGATGATGATAATGATGATAATAATAATGATAATGATGATAATGATTATGATAATGATAATAATAATGATGATGATAATAATGATAATGATAATGATAATGATGATGATGATGATGATGATGATGATGATGATGATGATGATGATAATAATCATGATAATGATAATGATAATAATGATGAAAATGATAATGATAATGATAATGATCATGATCATGATCATGATAATAATAATGATAATGATAATGATAATGATAATGATAATGATAATGATAATGATAATGATAATGATATGATAATGATGATGATGATGATGATGATGATAATGATAATGATAATGATAATGATGATGATGATGATGATGACGATGACGATGACGATGACGATAATGATGATGATGATGATGATGATGATGATGATGATGACGATAACGATAATGCTCATGCTAATGATAATGATAATGATGATGATGATGATGATGATGATGACGATGACGATGACGATAATGATAATGATAATGATAATAATAATGATAATGATAATGATAATGATGATGATGATAATAATGATAATGATGATGATAATGATGATGATAATAATAATGATAATGATAATGATAATGATGATGATAATAATAATGATAATGATAATAAGAATGATAATGATAATGATAATAAGAATGATAATGATAATGATGATGATAATAATAATGATAATGATAATGATAATGATGATGATGATGATAATGATAATGATAATGATAATGATGATGATAATAATAATGATAATCATAATGATAATCATAATGATAATGATAATGATAATGATAATGATGATGAAGATGATGATGATGACGATGACGATGACGATGACAATGACGATGAGGATGACGATGACGATGACGATAACGATAACGATAATGATAATGATAATGATAATGATAATGATAATGATGATGATGATGATGATGATGATGATGATGATGATGATGATAATAATGATAATGATATGATAATGATGATGATGATAATGATAATGATAATTATAACAAATACTTAATTATCAACTCCCCTTATGGGGCTTCTCAGGGATAATGAAACAATAATTCAAATAGAACATAAGAATCCTAGCTGGTATTAGGCGAACCAGTTGGCTATTTACAAGCATGACCGAGGATTTGAACTGTCAGGGCGGGACTTGAACTCGGGGCCTCCGAATTACAAGTCCAGCGCTCTACAGAGGCGCCCAACAACAGTTTGGACCGTAGAGTTTTCGGAAAAAATTTGAAAGGACCCCTAAAAATTTCGGCTAAGGGAAAAGCTCGTCAGGTAATCTTACGTTTTCGGAGAGCTTTCACTGTAGGCTGTTATTTCGGGAAAGGCGAAAAAGAGCCCTAAAAAATTCGAGAGGTTCAAACCACTCCTAGGACGACCGAACGGATCAAATTATTTTAAAGATGCGAATTATTCATTTATATTGCTTTTAAAGCACTCCAGGATGTATAACGAGCCATTTCAGATAATTTCCCAGAAAACGGTCGTTGGATGCCCCTGGCTCTAACCGCTCGATCACGCTGCCTCCACTGAGTGTACTTGAATATTTCACATAAAGCTTAGATGACAAAGCCTGCGTTGCAGACTTAATTCTTTACCACTGCACATTAAGTTTCGTCTGTGGCGTAGGCTAGGATGACATAGATTGCTCAAAATCAAAATTATCGAAAAATCCCAAATTTGATTTTGCACAAATCTAAAACTAATAAGTATTGTGTGAAAGGACGGAAAAAAACAGGTTTCATCTGTTTGGTCACTCTTTAGAATTTCATCCACGGACTCAAAAGTTATAACCACCGTGTAGAGTATAAAAACGTTTCGAGAGGAAAGTAATGCTTAGTAGCTTTCCTTTAAAAGGTCACTCTTTAGGTTTTCATCCACAGATTTCAAAGTTAGAATCACCTTGTACAGCGTAATAAACAGTACCCGCAGGAAAGTGCTGCTCAGTAACTTTCATTTGGATAATAACTCTGTAAGATTTTATCCACAGACTCACTAAAAGTTAGAACTAACTTGTACAGCATAATATACAGTACTACAGAAAAGAACTCTTGAGTAACTTTCATTTGAATGGTTGTACTTTAGAATTTCATCCACAGACTCAAAATTTACCTAAAATTTCTAACCAGCTCTTCCAGCATAGTAAACAGTACCAGAGAGAAGTACTTCTAAATTGCGATTTTTCAGCCTGAAAACAGAAAGGCTGAGGATAATGTGGTAAAATCGCTGTAAGGAAAGAAATTGGCAGTGAAACAAGATTATTGACCAAGGATAAATATAAATCTCTAGATAAATTCATCACAATATGTGTCTGGTTAAAAATGCAGTTTTGTTTATTTATTTATTTATTTTTAATTCTTTCATTGGCATTAAAAGGTTTCCTTCATGGCACATACTTAAATTTGTTTCAGGCCATTTTAATTTACGTATGAACGTATCTTCAGTTTAAGTAAGGTAATCTCTTTTTTGTTTGACATTGACTAACTCTTAATACCCTGTTAAGTTTCTCGTCTGCTACGATAAATAAATATGTATGAACATAACGTCATCATGGCGTGGTATATTTTAAGCAATTGTTACTTCATCTCTGTTACTGAGCATGAAACCACCAAACATGTTGTAACCGTTCCGATTAGCATTTCTTGGGTCAAAAATCAACTGATTCGCATTATCGAGGTCGGTAGCTTGTGTCCTTCCGGGCTTATGAGTCCACAAGCCTTGCTGGTCCATTTGATAAAAGTGAAAATCGATACCTAAAAAAGAGAGAGAACAATTTACTTAGGTTCTAAGAAAAGTGTGATATTTTTGATATTGTAACCTATACCATTACGGTCACCGCAGAAATATATCTTCGAAAGCAAGTGATTTTTTTCCAGGAAGAGAAAAGATGTTTTTATCGCACAAAGCTGATTCGAAAATCGCGTAGTCCATATACAGCCGCCCCTCATCTCAAACAAAATCGCCGCGATTGTGTTTGAGGGGAGGGTGATGCTGTATACAGGCTAAAATCGCTTTTTTTTCTTTTTCGCTTTCTAATTTTACAATGCGCACGCATTTATAGCAGCCATGGCATCTTTAAGTTTCTGCCATTGTTTCATACCAAAGTGCGTTGAACCTTGACAACAGTACCAGACAGTATATTAAGCTTCTATGTATACCTTCCTAGGGCTTCGTTGTGCGTTTCCGCCGTGTTCAAAGGGTTTATATGAGCGTCTCCCACATTTTATACCCTATGTACGAGAAAATAATGATATTTTTTTAACCTGGGTTAACGTAAAGTGCCACCAGATGTTTTTTCCCACTCGGAACCGGCGGTATAGGTGTGCCTATGGCTGCTTCCAAAAATTCCAAATGATCGTTTACCGCTGCATTTCTCATACAGACAGCATCTTGGACTAGGCACTTGGCCCCACTCCCCCTCCCCGGCTGGGCGAATGTATCAGTGATTTTGTTATTTGCGAAGTTGTAGCAGTTGTTGTCTAACTGTTTGTTGGTGTTCCAAATGGACGGAGTATAACGATAAGCGTAACGTTTTCGTCTACCTCCAACTGAAATCGTTTTCTTTGCGGGTACGTTTTCTTCTGGTAATTTTACTTCTGGTAGTGGTCGTGGTGGTCTGACAGGGTTTACTGCGCTGCTTTTTCCGGTGAGTATTTCCAGGTTATGAATATCCTCAAAGTATTTTTCCAACTTAGTTTCCTCCAACCAGCCTGAAAGAAAACGGAGAAACCTTTTGTTATAAAGGCAAGATAGCTGTAAGAGTTCGGCAATGATGTTTTGACCTATAAGAGTAGTGTCGACGGAAAACTTCAAAGAAAATACAAAATTTGATTCAGTTAAATGCTGAATAAATAAGATTATACTTCTTAAGATTTTCATTTGAATAGTAATATACGTAAGGATTTTTAACGTTTTTGTACATTATAATGAACAGCATCTCAGGAAAGAAAGTTCAGTCCTTTCAGTTCTAAGCCGGATCCACGTCATGAGCGTTGTCACAACTTCATCACTCACGGTCTCAAAAATTTCTGCGGTAGAAATGTTCCCAGAATCTGACCAGAATGAATCTCTTTCTCCATTATTAGTCCAGACACATTGTTGGATCTATTTTATTCTTTAACACTTTCGAATAGATCCGGGTGGAAAATATTGTAATGATAAATACTAATGATTAATTATTAACGTCGTGTACGAAACGTTAAACGCCATTTTTCGAAAACAGACTCCTGGCTCCATCCCTCTGCCTCAAAAGCCCGCGCAGACCCAATCTAAGTTACCCTATACCTGGAGGAAGAGTTTTGTATAACATCGATTGTAAATCCTTTGTTTGACTTCCTATAATTAGTACTGGTTGCTCCTGTGCTTGTTCTTGAACTAAGAACCCTTTGTACCCAAGTCTTGGGTTCATCCAGTCTGGTGTGTAGGTTAAAGACGCGCCCCTTGCTGCATCGAGATGTTCTTTAATGTTTTTATATCTTGCATCGTTGTCTTGGATAAACCACTGCGGATCGTCTCTACCGGAGAACACAAGGAAAGTCACCTTTACTCGTTCCCCTAAAAGAACAATAATTACAGCTGTTAGGTTATGTTCACACTTTCCCGGTTACGGCTTTTGCAAAGCCACCGGCGAAAACTATACTGGATAGGGCTTCTCTTCACACATGAAAACGGTGATCTCGGCGCCATTTCTGTAACGGAGCGAAACTGCGCCTGGCCGACGGAGTTGTCTCTTTCGTAAACGGTCGCTACCATTTTCTGACCTGTTATTGAAAGTTTTTCTATTAAAAAGAGAGAAAATCGCAACCCAGGGTCGACCCTGGACCTCGAACTCGGACCTTTCATATCCTACTCTCTCTTCCTTACCACTACACTACCACACACCTACTATACAGACCCGCCAAAATTCCGAACAAAAAGCGGAGAGTCACATATCGGATAAATGATATCCGGTATAGTGCGAACTGAACATGGCCTAAATTTGCAGAAGGCGCTCAATGACAACTTCCCGAAGTCCTTGTGTAAAACTTCTTTTATTAGAGAACCGGTAACCGGGTTGTCATAACAAGGTGGTAGACTGCGTGGAAGGTGTTTGAAGGGGAAAGGGAAGCGAATTTGGAGTTGTGCGCGCCCCAAGTCCCCTTGACGACCGTTGAAATGACATCAAAATGTTTAAAACTCACTTTCAAAGGCATATTCGAATTGTAATTTCTGTAGGTATTTTCTTGTTTTCTTTTTCATTACGTTCAACTCTTTTCTTGGAAACTGAATCTGAATTTAAGCCCCTCGAATGTTAATGCGTAGTGGTTACCGACAACCTGTTTTATGTTATCTTAAGCGACCTTTGTAATCGTTTTGTCAGTGTTAAGAAAAAAGCCCCTCAAAACAATGGTAAAAGCAAGAAAAAGCGCGTTGAATTTTGATACGTACTGCTTTGAGCGAGCGTTAGCTTTCGTCAGTATTCATCATTGGGTAAATAGTAAACGGGCAGTTGGCCAATCAAAACGCGACATTTACTTTTTTGTATGTTATAAACAAGTTAGTTTGGACGAAAAAAAAGGAACGAACAAACCTGATATTCCATTGAGAAGGTGGACAATTAGAAAGATGGTCACGATTTTTAATCCTGCCAACATGTCGTGCTGATATAGCCTTTCTGTAGGAAAAAAAAGCCCACATTTGAGATGGTTCTTATCGTTTTTATTTTCTTCGGCCTTTTATAGGGGTTCAGTTTCACAGCTGTCTAGTTCATTTTGTTAATATTAGAGACCTTTAGATTCTAAGACGATTCTCAATACTGAGTATTGCTGGCGCGTGAAACATGCGTCATTTTGGGGTGAAAAGTGATAGCCGTCGTCATTCTACTGCGAATTTTAGCGGGAATGTCGCAGTGGCGGAAAAGAGTTATAGATATGAGTAGTTTTGTCATTTTGCTATCTGGAGAGGGCTTAACCTCCTTCAATAAAGATAACTTTTCTGGTGAATGAAAAGTACAATGAAGCTTTCCGGGGTATCTATTATTTAAGAATAAGCAAAAAAAACTTTAAGACAAATCTCGTACTC